CTCCAGCCTCTCTTGACCTTGTCTGTCAATATGCATTTTCTTCAGCTGCATATCATTGATATGGACTGCCTTCCTAATGGTGACAATGGCAGGTAATGTGTGGGCAAAGCTGATTTTAGTCTCCCCCAGAGGTGCATGTGACTGGGTGGCAATGCAGGAATACAGTATTTTAATGAAGGCTGCATATTTAAAAAGGCAACTGTTGAAATTAAAGCTAACATGTTAATAATGCCTATATGATATGTTAGCGATTGAGTTTGTATACACTTTTAAGCTGAAATTTAATAAACCTATATTTTTCTTTCCCTGGTACATTGTTTTCCTCCTCATCCACATGCTAATAAAATGTTCTATTAAAGACTTTCCATTATTATTATTCTACAGGACTTATATAGCGCCAACAGTTTGCTCAGCGCTTTACAATATAACGGGAGACAATACAGCAACAATACAGTTCAATACAAGAGGGTTAGGAGGGCCCTGCTCCTTGGAGCTTACAATCTACATACTTTTATTTTAGACCTAGCGATGTCATCCCTGAGTGTTTTTGTACTTCTATAAGCAGATCATGGCTGATGAGAAGGTCTGGATGGGTACTATACATAGCTTCCTGAAAACATCACAGCACCCTGCCTCAGTGTGAGCAGTGGGCTGGCTCTTTTGGAGGTGTTGTGCAAATATGAAAATACCTTTAAATGTTACTAAACCCACAACAGTAAAACCAGTCAGTATATGCGCTAAAGCATGCTTGTTATACTTGGTGTGGAACCTAAGGGGTTAATCCTCTGCATTGTTTAAAAACAGTTTGATCCTGACTTCTCTGATCCTCCCCTTCTTCAGGTGTCCCCCTCTTATCTCCTGATAAGACATAATGTGTGGAGTCACTCTGCACATGCTCAGTTTGGTGTGCAGTTGTTAGAGATGTGTTGTTTTTGGTTTTTTTTTTTTTTCCTTGGGAGAGTGCATGTGATCAGCACGGGGCCATTCAGCACTGTCCAGACAGTCATTCTTCTCCTAGAGCAGAATGAAAACTCCTCCTACAAGCTTTAACCAGTGCTCTGCTGGTGACTGATAGAAGTCACAAGACTGCTATATATTGCTGATGAAAAAAGGTATTTAGCAGTTTATATTTTACTAAAATAATTGCATTTCCATGTTCTGTGTACTGTGGGAAACCAGATATAGTGAATGCAGGGTCCTGGGTTTAGTAACACTTTATTGGATGGATGTTGGTCTTGAGGAATGGGCATTCCTAGGCAGGCTGCTTTTGCATGTCAGATGCCCAATATAACAACTACTATGAGCCTCTGACTGAAAGAACTAAAATCCAATGAATGAAAGGCTGTGCCAGGGATAGTCGGGCTGAGGTGGGGGGAGAGTTGAATCATGCTTGATGTCCTCAAGCCAGAAAATAAGGTGGATCTATTTGGCTTGCTGCGGCTGATAGCTCACAGTATGCAGTGAAATCGGAGTAAGCAACTTCAGTACATGTAAGGATCCTGTACATGCAATAGTAAAGGGAAGGCTGGAGTTCAGCTTTAATGCCTAGCCTGCCTTTGTTTTTGGTGAGTCGTGTGTTGATAATTTTGTATGTGTTTTCCAATAAAGTTGCTGTGTGTGTGTTTATGAGGTCAAGTAGCACTGCAGACTGGCTTCCTGCATGCCATTTATATTGCTTTGGGCTCAAAATGTTTGTATAATAGGAAATGTATTGTAAAATTACAAATGCATACTCACAAACCAAAAAGGTCATAAAAACAGAGACAAGGAGTCAAAGATGTCAATTGCTGCTAGCAGAGGTTGTCGGGTGAAAGTTCAAACGCGTTTCGGAAGTCGAACCCCCTTCCTCAGAGCACTAGATAGAATACAATGCATAATGATGGTTCTTATTTATGAGAGCCCAGCCACGCCCCCTCTATGCAAAAGAAGGGGTGGAGTCCTGCAAGTGACGCCCAAAATGGAGATATCTTAAACGCAGATAAGCATATAATCATTTTAGCGACTGATATGGCAATCAAAAATGCTTACCGGATGGACTGATCTAGTCACCATGGATGTAATGCATTATAGTGTAAATGTACTCTGTGCATCTATAATGGACAAGGATGGGATTGATGTAATCCATGAACTTGCATAGTCCTCTTCTCGGGTCCTTTGCTGGCACTCCTGGCTCCTTCTTTCTGTTGGGTACCCCCATAGCAGGCAGCTTGCTATGTGGACACTCGAGCAGGTGTGTTCCTGAGCCGCTGCTCCATGTTTCCATTCACACACGGTGTTGTGGCTTGGCCTAGCCTCCTCTCTCTCCTCATTGGCTGACTGGATGTGATTGACAGGGGTGGACTGACCATTCGAGCACTCGGGCACTGCCTGAGGGCCCAGGGTCAGTAGGGGGCCCCATGAAATGCCCCTGGTACACTTTTTTTTTTTTTTATAGGCTTTTTTGGGTGTGTTTTGAGTGTGGGCAAGGACACGGGCCCCATGATCCCCCATTGCCCGGGGGCCCCATGAGTTGTCAGTCCGCCCCTGGCAGTGGGAGCCAATGGCTCCTGCTTGCTGTCTCTGCCAATGAGGAGGCAGAGACGTGGGGCTCAGGGACGTATTAAGGGGCCCACCATGCACCAACTGGCCATGTGTAGAAGACCTGTGAACCTCTCTGAGCCCATGCATTACCCCCCAAATTGAAGGACAGTCCCCACCAAGAAGACACACTCTCTCTCCCTTTCTCCCCAGGAACCTAAAACCCCCTAATCCAAGGGATCTCCCCCTACCAAGATGATATGGTCCCAATTCACCCTACAGAATGCCACCTTAAATGGCAGGCAGATGCCCACTATAGCAACTCTGGGTCTTACACCGGTCCATGTGGCCTCAGCATAATTTTAGCTTCACCAGTCAGCATGCATTGAGTGTCTTTATTCATGGACTAAGTAGAATATATGGCCCCTTCATTCATCAATGAGACATTATACTCAGCACTCTATTTGCAGTCCTGTTGCCCACTAATATTGCTGCACACACCATCATAGAGCTTACTCTCAGTGCAGCTGATCCATCCATTCATGATCTCATTATGATCTCACATATTCTGGTCAACCATAGTGCTGCATGCAGGACTGAGAACATTTCATGTGGTATGCAGACCATCTGATTGCAATCTAGCTCTGGATTTATGACTCAGCTGTGGATTACACAAGTTGCTTGCAATTCAACTTCTTACTCTCACATACTGCAGCCACTTACCCCTCCAGCTTTCCATGCGTCTGGGGGTTTCCATTGACTGCTCCCTTAGGACTGTCATACAACATAGTCCTCATGTCAGACTCATTCCTGGGGTGTTGGGCTACGTTCACACTAGCCTTGTGTGCAGGCGGCAGAGAGGCGTTTGGGAAGCGTTTTTACCGCTTCCCAAATGCCTCTGCCAATTCTGCACATTACAGCACATGGTGCTGTTCTAACGGGAGCGTTTGTCGTCGCGGCAAAACGGACGCCTCTGGATGAGTCAGGAGGCTTTGAAGCCTCCTATTCTCGTCTATGGTGCCGCTCCGCAAACGCCCGGCCGGCCGGCGTTTGCGGTGCGGTTGCGACGCGCTTGCGGGGCGTTTGCGGAGCGGTAACACCACTCAAACTGCATTATAGGCATTTGTGGGGCGTTATTAACGCTCGGCAAACGCCTAGCAACCGCCGCTAAACCGCGCATGCGGCGTTTGCGGAGCGTTTGCCGAGCGTTAAAAAACGCTCCGCAAACGCCGGACCAACGCTTGCCAAACGCTATAGGGGCGTTTGGCAAGCGTTGGCAAAACAGCCTAGTGTGAACGAGCCCTTAGACACGCACATAGAATTGTGTGTTGCATCATATGCTATCCACTTGTGTATGCATTTATGATCTAGTTCCATTCATAGTAGATTATATATTGTGTGAGGGTTGTCACTGCGGATGTGTAGATACCATGGCTTGGATGGTGCATGGCAGATTGGAGACACATGTAGGACCTCTACCTAGCAGATAGTCCAGGGTTCATAGTACCTAGTGGATACTAGGATTGGTCCTGGAGGTTTTCCTGCCCTTTAAGATGGCATTTTGTAGGGTGAATTGGGACCATACCATCTTGTCCCCACTGGTGGGGGGGGATCCCTTGGGTTAGGCGGTTTTAGGCTCCTGGGTAGAGGTGGAATTTGGGGAGATTTAGGGCTATGTAGAGAGGGTGGTGGGGGCGGGAGGAGTGTGTGTGTGTGTGTGTGTGTGTGTGTGTGTGTGTGTGTGGTATGTGTGTGTGGGGGGGGGGGGGGAAGGGTCCCATCCTTCAATTTTTTTTTTGGGGGGGGGGGGGAGTGCATGAGCTCAGGAGGGGATGGTTGGGCTAGGGGAGGTTTACAGGTCATCTACGCAGGGCCCACATACCTGTGATGCATATTACTATACATTTTTTTAATCTACAATAAAGAGGTAGCCACTTGATTGTCATTGCCATTTTCTTCTTTTTTGTGGTATAATATTTTGGTTACACCCTGCCTGTATTTTGTAGGATGACGCCTCTTGACATATTTGTATTGGTTGGAATGGCTCCCTAGACCATTTGTGCTCTCTTTTTTTTCTAAAGTATAGAGGGGGCTGGTGGCACTGCTGCGCACACACAGGATTTTTGCCTTCATGAATATTGAACCTTTACAACCACTTTGTCATTGCTGTCATCTTAGAAGGTCCATAAGAACAAATTGATTCATATTACAAGGAGCTAGAGAGGTCAGTGATTGTATAAAAGCTATTTTTTCTCTTATTAGGCAGATGTAAGTAATGTCCATAGTCTGGGACTGGCTGCACGTTGAGGTCTGTCCTTGTTAATTTTACTGCATGAAAATGTATTTGAAACATAAATGTTATTCACTCCTGTGTGGCTAGTTCATATGTAGGCCCTGCAGATAAGTATACAGTAGATTTAAAAACTGGAAATATTGGGTTGATTTACTAAAACTGGAGAGTACAAAATCTGGTGCCGCTCTGCATGGTAGCCAATCAGATACTAACTTGTTCAGTTAATCTTTGACAAAACAAAACTGGAAGCTGATTGGTTTCTATGTAGAGCTGCTCCAGATGTTGCACTCTCCAGTTTTAGTAAATCAACCCCATAGTATTGTGAATTACGCATGAGTCTTGTTTTTATGAACCCCATCACCACCTCATACTTTTGAGGACCCATTCACACTGGTACGTTAACACAACACTCCTAAAATTGTTTGTGTCACATTTTTTTAATGCTGCTCACAGATCATGCACGTCTGTACTCTACAATGCATTTGGTTTGAAGAGCATTGTGATTTATGAGTGCGTTGGGATGTAATAAAAAATGAATGGCCGCACTGAGGTACACGTATTGCTGTGCATTTACAGTAATGCATGCTTACGCTATGCGCTGGTATGAACATGATCTCAATCTGAGAGCATTGGCAGGAAAGGCAAATATCGTGCTCTCCAATCCTCATATTATACTCTGATAGGGCAAGTTGCAGGAGCTGGATCAATATATCTAATATGAGCACTTCTGGTAGTGTTGGCTTAGGCTGCCTTTTGCTCGTTCTTCTCGCTGCTATTTCATTTTCTCGGCTCCCAGCACAACCTCATATTTTTTTTTATTTCAATTTGCTAGGATCGTAGGGTGCAAACATGAAGTACCAGCGGAGGGTCATTTGTGTAACTGTTCCATAGCTGCTGGGATCACTGGCCTCAGAACCATGATGGTGGCACCCAGCAGCAAACGGAGCACTTAAATGTGAATAATCCTGAAAAAGTTGGATTATGAGCAGATATTGTTTTAATTTCTGTTTACTGGCTTTAGCCTTGCAACCAGCGGTTTAATATCTCAGATTGAGTTCCTGTGTTTTTTGGTGGGTTTTTTTTTTTTTTTTTTTTAAGCAGGAAACCGTTTTGCAACAGTGTCTTTTATACCTTTAAGTAGAAAGCTGACAGTAAAAAGCATCAACTTCTGTCATTCATCCTGTGGACTGAATTAAAGAAATCTTAACTGATTCCTTAACCTCCCTGGCAGTATTCCCGAGTGTAGCTCGGGGTAAAGTTTCAGTACCACAAGCAGTAACCCCGAGCTACACTCGGGAATACTATGCGGTGCTGCTCCACGATCCTTCGATCACTTACCTTGTCCTGCACTCCCGCGATGTCCCTCCTGCAGTGTCCCCGGCAATGTAATCCGGCGGATGCTGGCATCTGTCTTCTGGGTTCCGTCCATCCTCTGTGAGCGTCGGGACGTACGGAATGGCGGGAAATTAAAAAATGACAAAAAGTGACATTCACTAAAATCACATAGTAAAACATTACTGTATCAAACCATTTCACATACATTTTGTCCCTAGTGCTTTGTCCTGTGCCCTGCCTACATTTTTACCATTCTTTCTGCCTGGAAGCTGAGAAACGTCCATGGCATCCAAAAAGCGTCCCTTTTAGGTCAAAAGCAGTTTTAGACCAGCTAGAGAACAGCGATTAGTAAAGCAGAACCACTTGCAGAATTGAGTGATAATGATTTTGTGGGGAAATTCGTGATCGGACACTGAAACCGTTTTTGCGACTTTGCTCAGTGATGTGCGAACTGGCGCTATATTTCAAATTTCAGTGGTTTTGGTTTGATTATATTATTGAATTAAATTTTATTATAGTATTATTTTTTTATGATCATTTATTAAATTATAATTTATGATTTTTTTGTTTCAAATTTTATCATACCCGGGATGTTTACTAGACTCTTGTTCGGACAGATTTCAGTGAGTTATTCCTAAAAATTACAGGCCTACAATAAAAAAAAAAATACATATTTCCATGCAAAAAAATGGTACCGCTTTCAGCACCAAAAATCTGAAATAATCATACCGCCAGGGAGGTTAACCCACGCTTAACAGCACACATGAATGAATCTCCTCTGCCGACTATTATGTTTTGGCAGCCAGCATCCACAGCTGTCAGAATACCCAAGCAGTGCTTGCATCTACTCAGTGGTGTACTCAACTTTTCTGTACACAACTTTCCACCTGGCTTCATTTTTCTTTGGATCACCTTTTTCTGTAGCTGTACTAGCTCTACACATATAGAGCAAGAAAGGTGCTGGCATCCTATTTGTATGTGTCTCTTAAAGTTTGAGAAGATGGCATGCTATGAATAACGTTTCTTTTCTGTTTCCACTTGCATTGAATTTTAATGTTACGTAAAGTGTGTTCATTACACTTAAATATAAAGGGTTTTTTTTATCAGGTGTCTGTTTTATATAATGCTATATGTGAAATCAGACTGTTTTTTTATGTTTGATAACACAGCTACTGATTTTATAACTTTTTTTTTTTTTTTTTTTTTTTTTTTTCTTCTAGTACTGGATCAATGAGTACACATCATCCCTAGGAATTGGTGTCTTCCACTCTGGTATTCAGGTGTATGGTAGAGGTATGCTTTTTATCCCATGTTGCATTACCTTGGGCAAGGGGCAATAGATGAGCAGGATACAGTCTACCCTTCTTTGTATTGTTTGCAGATAAAGATTGGTTTGGGTTGCTTATAAGCTGCATACAGCACAGATATAGCCATCCCCAGAGAAGGTCAGATCTGACAGGAATAGTTGTTTGGCACAAGCCAGGAGCTGCCATTTAATACAGGGAAATAGATATGGCAGTCTACACACCCACATCTCTATGCAGCCCTTGCACAGCTGCATTTTTCAGCATTGCCTTGATTGGTTATCCACTGACCTTAATGAAGGAGGTCTGTGAATGATTATCTGCTTTTCTTGATAAATTGTCAGAGTGGGATAGTCGTGTGTTTGTTAAAATTTCAGATCATTGGTCTAAAAACATTTTTCCACAGACAGCAGCCCAGTATGGTCATTACAGAACTGTAGTAATGTGGGACACCCACTGTTTGGTTGCTTTGTTTTTACATAGATCCTCCTTTTTTTTTTTTTTTCCATCATCAGAATTTGCGTATGGAGGTCACCCATATCCATTCTCCGGTGTCTTTGAAATCACTCCTGGGGATTCTACTGAACTGGGAGACACATTTAAATTCAAGTAAGTTGAATGTTTCATCTTTGGACAGTTCTTTTTAACATGATGTTTTTTATGAAGCAATCATGCATTACAGTAATACAATAAAAAATGTGATTGACTAATGTCCTGAAATTAGACTGAATGTCTGTGTTACTCTGCATTTACACTGCAAGTGTATAAACACAGCATAAAGTACAGGGAAGCAAGACAGAGCAAAGCTAAATGGCACATCTGAATAAGTATTCCCAACTGTTCTACCTACCCGTGCATGGTTTTCCTTATTCCTGATGTGTTGTATGGCTATGTTACATAAGCTTGGTGAAAATGCTTGCCACACCTCCTGTTTCATTTAACACTACTAGAGAAGATTATCATTCAGACCCCCCCCCCCCCCCCCCCCCATTCTGTAAGCAAATAAGCAATTTTTTTTTTTTTTTTAAATCACTGAATGTTATCCACCATTGATTTTGTTAAATGTGGACAAAATTGTTGATATCCTTACAGCTCATTGGCAATTGTCTCATGTATACCTGCATGCCCATTTTTTATTTATTTCACAGAGCAAGGAAAATGTGAAGTTATTGCTTTCTGTACAAAGATATTCAGGGATTAGGCTGCACAGATTTTTTTTTTTTTTTTTTTTTTATAGCCCTAGTAAAGATCAAAATGGTTGTAAAGGCTAAAGTTTTTTTTTTACCTTCATGCATTCTATTCATGAAGATAAAAAACTTTCTGTGTGCTGCTCCCCTCCCACAGCCCCCTCTAATATTTATCTGTGTCCTTTCTCGATCCAGCGCTACAGCACTGTGCACTGGAGCCTCGGCTCTCCTGGGTTTCTCTCTCCTCATTCACAATGGCTTGCTCTGGAAGCACTCAGCAGGGAGATGGACTAGGAGAGCCAGCTAGGTACCTGAGAAGAGGAGGATCAGGGCTGCTGATGAAGGGGGTAAAACCTTCTGGAGCTCAAGTGGTTAAAGTGATTATAAACTTTGTTTTTTTTTTAACAACAACAATGGTTTTGCACAGAACAGCCTTGATTCTCCTCTTCTGGGGTCCCCCACCAGCTCTTCTGGCTCCTCCTGCCTTCACAGTGCTCCTTTAGCAAGCCGCAAAGTTTATTATAGAGTGCCCCTATAGCAAGGTAAAAAAAAAAAAACTATCTTTAGAATCACTCAATTCCTTCTCCTGCACAGGACTACATGTCCTATGAGGCATTGCTCCTCACACATTCATACACTTACTGATGTGTATGGATGTTGTACTGAGCTCTTTGTGCTGCACTGTATTTTCTGAAATGTAAACAAATAATGCATTTTGCATGCAGGCCAACTAATCGATTATATCGATTAGTTGTTTCAGCCCTAGTTGCAAGAAAATTTTAGGTTCTTTTTCATAGAAGGGTCTCAAAGTTTGTTCTTGTCTTTTATTTCTGCCCAGATTATATGTTTTCTCACAATAGAAGAGTTTATCAGGCTTTTAGGAAATATAGCAATGTGAATTAAAGACTGATGTAAGTTGTATATTTGCTTACATTGGTGTAAAGTATGTGTGTAAAACTGCAAAACTCAACAAGAGCTCAGATTGTCGATGCATTTGGTGATCTTAGTGGAAACGTAACATTTATAGTACATCTAGAAATTGACAGCGCTTAACTTCTGCCACATTTTGTTATGTTACAGCCTTATTCCAAAATGGATTGAATTCATTTTTTTTTCCTCAACATTCTACAAACAATACCCCATTATGACAACGTGATAGAAGTTAGTTTTGAAATCTTTGCAATTGAAAAACCATATGTACATAAGTATTCACAACCTTTGTCATGACACTCAAAACTGAGCTCTGGTGCATCCTGTTCCCACTGATCATCCTTGGGATGTTTCCTCAACTTCATTGGAGTCCACCTGTGGCAAATTCAGTTGATTGGACATGATTAGGAAAGGGATAAACCGGTCTATATAAGGTCCCAAAGTAACAGTGCATGTCAGAGCACAAACCAAGCCATGAAGTCCAAGGAATTGTCCATAGACCTCCGAGACAGGATTGTATCAAGGCACAGATCTGGGGAAGGGTACATAAAAATTTCTGCAGCATTGAAGGTCCCAGTGAGCACCGTGGCCTCCATAATCCGTAAATGGAAGATGTTTGGAACCACCAGGAATCTTCCTTGAGCAGGCCGCCTGGCCAAAATGATTGAATGAGGGAGAAGGGCCTTAGCCAGGGAGGTAAGCAAGCACCCAATGGTCACTCTGAAAGCTCCAGTGTTTTTCTGTGGAGAGAGGAGAACCGTCCAGAAGAACAACCATCTCTGCAGCACTCCACCATTCAGGCTTGTATGGTAGAGTGCCCAGACAGAAGCCACTCCTCAGTAAAAGGCAAATGGCAGCCCGCCTGGAGTTTGCCAAAAGGCACCTGAGGGACTCTCAGACCATGAGAAATAAAACTCTCTGGTCTAATGAAACAAAGATTGAACTTGAATGCCAAGTGTCATGTCTGGAGGAAACCAGCCACCGCTCACCACCTGGCCAATACCATCTCTACAGTGAAGCATGGTGGTGGCTGCAGCATACTGTGGGAATGTTTCTCAGTGGCAGGAACTGGGAGACTAGTCAGGATCGAAGGAAAGATGAATGCAGCAATGTACAGAGACCTCCTTGATGAAAACCTGTTTGATCGCTCTGGACCTTAGACTGGGGCGACGGTTCATCTTTCAACAGGACAACGACCCTAAGCAGCCCACATAACAAAGGAGTAGCATGGGCTAACTCTGAATGTCATGGAGTGGCCCAGCCAGAGCCCAGACTTGAACCTAATTGAACATCTCTGGAGAGATCTGATAATGGCTGTGCACCGATACTCCCCATCCATCCTGATGGAGCTTGGAGGTACTGCAAAGAAGAATGGGAGAAATTGCCCAAAAATAGGTGTGCCAAGCTTGTAGCATCATACTCAAAACGACTTGAGGCTGTAATTGGCGCTAAAGATGCTTCAACAAAGTATTGAGCAAAGGCTGTGAATACTTATGTACATGTGGTTTTTTTTTTAGTTTTTTTAATAAATTGCAGAGATTTCAAAACTAACTTCTTTCACGTTGTCATTATGGGGTATTGTTTGTAGGATGTTGGGGAAAAAATGAATTCCATTTTCGAATAAGGCTGTAACATAAAATGTTGCAAAAGTTAAGCGCTGTGAATACCTTTTGGATGCACTGTAAATTGAAAAATATACAGAAGATACTGTGAGAGATTTGATTAGCCCTCACGTTTTGAAAAGCAAATGTCTTTGGAAAACATTGGATCAAGAAAACTGACAATCCCTTATGGCCCAATCCAACCAGTTGCTTCCTATACATTGGTTAAAAAGCCCATTTGATGTCTTGTGCTAGTCAAGATGGAATGAATACCCCATTCTCCTCCTCTTACTGTTCAAATAATTAGTTAACACTTAATGTTTATGGAATACTTTTAGTATTCTCTGACATAGTGTGACATTATGAAGGGGGAGATGTATTTCACCAAGGTTTCTGTTTTGTCTGAATGTAAATTGCATTGTGGGGGATTTGTCTTTTTATTAAGGACCTGCACATTGTGTGTGTGTGTGTGTGTGTGTGTGTTTTTTTTCTCCCAGTGTGGGGTTTCCCCATAACTACTTGCCTACCAGGGTTAATTTTTTTGCACATGTAAGATCTTGAATTTTTTACTTCCAGTAAATGGATATGAAATATGTCAAGCTTTAAAGTGTTACTAATCCTAGGACCCTGCATTCACTATATCTGGTCTCCCACAGTACACAGAAATGCTATTATTTTAGTAAATATAAACTGCTAAATACCTTTTCTCATCAGCAGTTAGAGCAGTCTTGTGACTTCAGCAGAGCACTGGTTAAAGCTTGTAGGAGTTTTCTTTTTAGGAGGATGTGAAACCCCCTGACCTCTATCTGGACAGTGCTGATTGGCCCTGTGCTGATCACATGCACTCTCCAAAGAAATAAAAATCCTCTCTAGCAATACACACCAAACTGAGTATGTGTATGTGACTACGGATTCAGTCTGTATCAGATGGTCATTTCAACAAGAGGAGGGGCAGAGATGAAAGGATCAAACATCCTTTTTACACAATGCAGAGGATTAACCCCTTAGGTTCCACAGTGAGTATAACAAGCATGCTTTACTGCATATACAGACTGATTTTACTGTTGTGGGTTTAGTAACCCTTTCGTTTTGCAAACCTATAAAATCACAAAAAACAATGGTACTCAAAATTCTCCATAGGTGATGCTTTAAAAGCCTTTTATATGTTATCATTTTAGAGTTAACCATATGTTATGGCTCTAGAATGATTGCTTTCACTCCACCATTCATAACGATACCTTACATGTGTTCCGTAATTGATGTTTACATACATGTGCTTGCCCTATGCTGCACGTGTGATATGGGGTGTGTACGGGGGTGCCGGGTGTTTTAAAAAATGTTTTTAATTTTTTTTTATCCTTTTTTGTTTTCCTACTTAATGTTATAGCAATGGGCAGGTGATACATCCTCTTTATGGGGATACTGGGGATCTAGTAGACCCCCAGTGTCTCCCCTGCCTTTCAGTGCAGCTAATCATGCAAATTCTGCTTAAATAGCTACGTCCTCGGCTATTCGAGGAATGACAGCTGTTACCCTGGAAGTGACGTAATACATTGTTTCCAGGGTCATTAGTCACAGGAGATTTAGGAGATGGATGTTCCCCAAATGCCTCCTGGTTCTGCTTTTTCGTCGGGTCCTGGGTTCCCCAAAGAAATGGAAGAGCCTGGGAACTATTATGGGTGGCTGCTGGCAGGGGGTATGCACTCAATTAAAGTCCCATCAAAGTGAGAGCCACCCGGATCACTTTTATCTGAAAGTCCTTGGCTGGCTGTAAAACCTTGCTTCAACCTCTTGTCTATCATGCACTTTATAAACGTACCATGGTAGACAAGTTGTTAAAATCTATAGATTTTCTTTTTGGGGAGGGGGGTCTCATGCCATATTGTGGGTATATTTTTTTTTTTTTTTGTGGGGTCCCATTTGACCTAAAGGACCACTTAGGAATTATAAGGGGACCACAACCCCATGTGTTTTGTATGTGTGTTTTATATAATTCATGAATGGAGGTGGTAACTGGAGGTGGTGCTGGATGTAAAGGACTCAGTGGTGCCTGCACCTGTCGGCATCTCTAACCACTGGCAGCGGGAAGCAGGGATAGCCATAAAAATGCAGCTTTTATACTTGACGTTTCGCTCCTGCCAAATGGGCTAGTGTTAAAGCGCTGCGCAAACTGTTGGCGCTGTATAAATCCTGTATAATAATGTTCAAGCACTCTTCCAAACACCTGAACAGCCAAGGTGCAGTCTGAACTTTTGCCTTGATCCTTACTCTTCACCTGTCAGAGACCGCCATGTTTAGTTAGTACTTGCCTAGCAATGTTTGGTTTTGCTTTTTTTTTGTTTTTTGTGTTTTTTTCTGTTTTATGGTATTTGAGCAACCATAAGGCCTCAAAAAACTCCAGTAACTTTAGCTGTAGAATGCTGCATTTAAAATCACAAGTGTTTGTGTTTTTTTTGGGGGGGGGTTTTAGCATTTTTTTTTTTTTTTTGTATTAACGTTTTTGTGTGCTTTTCAGTGTTTGCGTTTTTAGCAAAACTATACTCCCACAAAAACGCTCATAAACACCCTAATAGCTGCAGTTTTCAGTGTCAGAGGGTTTTTACAGCTGTAAAACTCCTATTCAAGCGCAGTAGTTCTGGGGAGGGGGGGTTCCAGCCTGAAAACACCCCTGCCAAAAAACACTGATAAAACCTATTTGTGCATGGACACATAGGATAACATGCTGGGGAGTTTGCTGGCTATAGAAAAAAAAAAAAAAACCGCTTGATGCCCACAACATCAGCTGTAAAAATGCCAAGTGTGCATGAGGCCTACAGCTGGCTGTGTGTTTAGTAAAACTACCTAGTATAGGCAATTTTTCATCGTCCTGAGACTTGAGTGTCCCTTTACCCAGGGACTGTTTCCAACAGAGTACTCCCTACCAATATACTAAACGGTTTCCTCTGACATCTCTCTGCAATACATTCCCTGTAATAATGTTTATGCCTGTGTTGCTATGAAGATGTCACTTGCACTGTGTGGGGTATGAAGGATCTTCTTTTTTATGGTTTCCTTATTTGTGTTTTGCTTTTGTACTTTTTGCATCCTCTGTTTGGAATATGTTCTCCTGTTGATTGCACACCTGTATAACAATGTTCACAAACAATCCTTTTGTGTTGTATTGTCTTAGAATGTTTTATACATAATAAAAACAGAGAATCTGTTTTTTAAAAAGAAGTTATTGTGATCATATTGACCGACCAAGCCACATCCACAACATAATGGTCTCCTCTGTGGGTCTTTACAAAGTTCTTTCTCTAACTTTTTTTTTTTTTTTTTTTCTTAAGGGAAGCAATAGCTTTGGGAAGCACAGATTTCACAGAAAATGACATTGAAAAAATAGTTGAAGAACTTGGGAAAGAATTCAAAGGAAATGCCTATCATCTTATGCACAAAAATTGCAACCATTTCTCTTCATCTCTGTCAGAGGTAAGTTACCCTGTTTATGTAGTAATGTTACATATCGGCCGTGGATAATTTAGCAGCCAAAAATAGGGTTATTGTGCAACAACGCTGCCTACCGACTTCAGTGAAAATTTGCTTCCCATTGACTTCAATGCAAAAACGCCCCCTAGTGACTTCAGTGCAAAATTTTGTCCAATTGACATCAATGAAAAAATGCCCCCTAGTGACTTCAGTGCAAAAACACCAGCCACATTACTTTAGATTAAAAAAAAAATGTTTGTTTCTGTTCTCGACCAAGTGCATCCTGAATTTTTATTTCGGTGCACCACTAGTATATCTATATCCCATTTATGTTTGATATTGTTGTATATTTTCTAGGGATTCAGTAGACTATCCTCGGTAGACATAATTTTTTAACATCAGGGTGGGCTGTGGTGGTGTTTGCTACGATACACTTTCATGTACATTGCTTCAAGGTATCCCATTCATTTCAATGGGCTGCCTAATGCCCTACAACTAGCTATACCATTCAAAATTAATGGCGCCGCAGAGCAACCAACACATGTAACATGCATTTACAACAGCATAGTTGTGTGAATGGTCCTTTAAAACTAGATACCGATGTTTTTTTTGTTTTAACTTTAACAAATAATTATTCCCCGCCTCGGATATTGGTTGTGGCAGATGTTCCTGGATAGTTATGGTTTTTTAAGATGAGATTTTTTTTTTTTTTCCCTGTAATTACCAAAAATATTAATGGTTTTAGAGACAGGCTGGGAAATTGGCTTTGAGCTTTGACACTTGTCAAACAAAACCATGACACAGGAAAGGTATTGGACAGGGGGGTTAGCAACCTCTTCCACATAAAGTGACATTTTTATAGGCACTAAACAACTGGAGTGTCAGTGAACAAAAGTATACCATAGTCATATAGTGGGTTTTCAATTGTTGCACTGGTAATGACAACTCATGAAAACTTAAACTCATTAGTTATTATTCTAACTTATGAACACACAAACATTGTTCATATTTAGACCCCAGCCCTCTTTCCTCCATCTTCACACTTCAGTCCCCGATTCCTGCACCGGCACACCTCAGGTCAGTCCCCGATTCCTGCACCGGCACACCTCAGGTCAGTCCCCGATTCCTGCACCGGCACACCTCAGGTCAGTCCCCGATTCCTGCACCGGCACACCTCAGGTCAGTCCCCGATTCCTGCACCGGCACACCTCAGGTCAGTCCCCCGATTCCTGCTCCGGCACACCTCAGGTCAGTCCCCCGATTCCTGCTCCGGCACACCTCAGGTCAGTCCCCCGATTCCTGCTCCGGCACACCTCAGGTCAGTCCCCCGATTCCTGCTCCGGCACACCTCAGGTCAGTCCCCCCGATTCCTGCTCCGGCACACCTCAGGTCAGTCCCCCGATTCCTGCTCCGGCACACCTCAGGTCAGTCCCCCGATTCTTGCTCCGGCACACCTCAGGTCAGTCCCCCGATTCTTGCTCCGGCACACCTCAGGTCAGTCCCCCGATTCCTGCTCCGGCACACCTCAGGTCAGTCCCCCGATTCCTGCTCCGGCACACCTCAGGTCAGTCCCCCGATTCCTGCTCCGGCACACCTCAGGTCAGTCCCCCGATTTCTGCTCCGGCACACCTCAGGTCAGTCCCCCGATTCCTGCTCCGGCACACCTCAGGTCAGTCCCCCGATTCCTGCTCCGGCACACCTCAGGTCAGTCCCCCGATTCCTGCTCCGGCACACCTCAGGTCAGTCCCCCGATTTCTGCTCCGGCACACCTCAGGTCAGTCCCCCGATTTCTGCTCCGGCACACCTCAGGTCAGTCCCCCGATTTCTGCTCCGGCACACCTCAGGTCAGTCCCCCGATTTCTGCTCCGGCACACCTCAGGTCAGTCCCCCGATTCCTGCTCCGGCACACCTCAGGTCAGTCCCCCGATTCCTGCTCCGGCACACCTCAGGTCAGTCCCCCGATTCCTGCTCCGGCACACCTCAGGTCAGTCCCCCGATTCCTGCTCCGGCACACCTCAGGTCAGTCCCCCGATTCCTGCACCACTACAATCCCAAAACATCTGTAACCCTAATGCAGCTCCCTCAAACCTGTTTTTTGCTACTGCATCCCCTGCTTACCTCTTCTGCCACACTAACTCTCTGCACTGCAAAGCTGGTGTGTTGAGTTACCATTCAAAGTGAATGGTGCTGCAGAGCACCAACACACATAACATGCATTTACAACAGCACTGTGGAGTGAATGGTCCTTTAAAGTAATAACAATAAACATTGGTACCTAGCTTTAACCACCTCCCGTGCGGCCCATGTATATAAACGTCCGGACGGTGGCAGTGCAGGGTCGGGTGGCCGTTTCACTTCTGACATCATTGCTTACTACGTGTAAAATCTGTGAATGATCAGAGGTCACATGGTACAAGGCTATTCACAACAGCCTTGTATCATGTGACAAGCTGTGACCAATCACAGCTCACACAGTAGTTCTCAATGGCTGCCAGAATGCAGCCAGAGAGAAGGAGAAATGATTGCTTTTACAGCCTTTTATGGGTGTAAAAGCAATCAGTGTAAAAAAAAAAAAAAAAGAAAATCAATCTTCACCCCCAAAAAGTAGTACAGTGTCACCATGGTGACACTGTACTGCTAGGGTGACAGTATGTAAAAAAAAAAACCCATAAATATTAAAATAAAAATGTAAAAAAAAAAGTTTAAAAATTTTATAATTTTTGGTTATAAACTAATTTTTTTTTTTTTTTTTATTACTAAAAAGATAACAGAATACATTTTGGCCAAGATTTATGTTGAAATATTTATTTGCAAAATTTTATAAGAAACACTTTTTTTCAAAATTTTTGGACTTTTTCATTTACATAGCAAAAAAAAATAAAAATCCCAGTGGTGAATAAATACCACCTAAACAAATAAAGCTTTATCTGTCTAAAAAAAAAATGCTAAAAAATTCATATGGGTACAGGGTACAGTGTTGCATGACCACGCAATTGTCATTCAAAGTGTGATAGCACTGAAAGCTGAAAATTGGCCTGGACAGTAAGGAGCTAAGTGTCCGGACTTGAAGTGGTTAACAAATAATTCCCTGCCTTGGGTATCAGTTGTGGCAGGTGTTCATGGATAGTTATGGTTTTTAAGATGGGATTTTTTTTTTTTTATATGTAATTGCCAAAAATATTAATGCTCTTAAGAAAAGGCTGGGAAATCGGCTGTGTGTTTTGACACTTTTATTACTTATCAAACGTTCATGTCTGGAATCCCCGAGAATTAAAAAATAAATAACAGACGAATGGCAGTAGCCACATGCCACTGAAAATAGCATGGCGTGCTGGGGGTTGCTGACCCCTGTGTTGGAATGTATTGTAATGTAGCAACAACACTGGCTGCTAAACTGGTGATTTGAGACATATATGCTAGGCTTGAACATTGATTGCATTGGTGCCATCTGTGATCAGCATCATTGCCTCCTTTACAAAGAGGCCAACTGTCCTATGTGGTATGAGATGTCATGTGAAATCCTCCTCCATCAAGAGTGAGAATTTGTTTAGAACAGCATGGCTATGCCAGCGTGTAATCATGGTGGATGAAATTTAGGAAGCGCCTGGAGTGAGTAACAATCTGGTCCTGTTTTTTTCTAGAACTGTACTAGAGGAATTCTGGTTGAGATTTGATTCCTAAAGATGGTATTTTACATTGCCTTATCTAAAGACTGTTGGTTTCATGAGTAGGGATGAGCAAAATCAATCCACTAAGTTCAAGGACAGAGCCAGACTAGGCAAGTATGCTAATGGGAGGGGAGTGTGGAACCTGGCCAATATTGTAGATTTCGTGAGCTGGTACCTGTATAGGAATGGAAGGCTTGCAGACATTTTCTGCACATGATTTTATTTTTTTGGGGTTGTATTTTTTTTTTTGGGGGGGGGGGGGGGGGGGTTTGTGCACTTGCCATTATGCACCTCTCTTAAAATGCTATTGTCTTGAGTCTGGCTCTAATACTTACCCTTAGACTTGGAGAAAGTAGGTTGCAAATTGAAGTTGACAAAGTCAGTGGTTTGTATATTTTGTGTCTTCATGTTTTCTCTTGCAAAAGTTGAGCATTATAAATCTAAAATAATTGCAAAGGAAACCGGTGTATAATTTAAAGAACAGGTCCACTTTCAGCACTTTATTCTTACTTGTTCTTGCAGCCTACTCAAATGAGGCTACCTGTTTTGCTATTAACCACACGCTTAAGACGCGGACAGATGCTCCAAACCAACACAAGAGGGAAGAGAGAAAACAAATATGGCTCCTGTATTCGTATGCATGAGCAATCTGTTACTTTTCTTCCCTTTTTTTAGCTTTTTCTAATGGTGTAATGGCAGCAGGGGACAGTTGCTGCAAATTGAAACTGACTTTTGCAAGGCCCTGTGCTGAAGAATCCTGGTTATTAGTACCCATTGTGATTCATGTTTCTTATTTTGGGCAAGCCACAGGGAGAGGTAAGAATAAACAAAAAGTCCTGAAAGTACATTTGTCCTATAATATTTCTAAATAAATCAGACCAGAAGCTAGCAAATGCAAGAAATACTGGCAGTGCACATCCCACAATATAATTATTTTTTTTGCAAGTTTTGTCTCACCCATAGTTATAGACTCCAGTTCAACCTGTGTGGGTGTGCGTGTGTTCATGACAAAAGTCCTTTCTCATATTCCTGTATATTGTGCTTGCTAAGATGCCCATCTAAGAAGGTTGTTTTGTTTTTTGTTTTTTTTATTTTTTTGTTTGTTTTTTTTTTATACTTTTTTAAATACTTCCCGCTAACACTACTGGTTGTGGAAGTGAGTTCCTTACTGCCCCTGACCGTGAAAAAAACCCCTACGCAGTTAAAGGTTAAACATTTTTCTTCCAATTTCATTGAGTGGCCGCACATCGTCTTATATTCTCTGAGACTGAATTCCTTAGAATCACTGTTGAGGTATTTTGTATTGCTGTATCATCTCCTCTCAAACGTCTTTTTATATAGGGAGAATAAATTGTTTGCAGTCGTTCCCCGTAACTGAGGTCCTCCGCCCCCTTATTAACCTTGTTGCCCTTCTCTGGACTCTCTCCAACACAAGCACATCTTTTCTGAGGACTGGTGACCAGAACTGGATAGCATACTCCAGATGTGGTCGAACCAGAGTTTATAAAGTGGCAGGTTATAGTTTTAACTGGAGTAAATACACATTTTTTTTTTTTTTTTTTTTTTCTTTAATGCATGCTAAAATTCTGCTAGTTTTGCTTGCTGCAGCTTGACACTGCATGCAATTGCTGAGCCTGTCCTCTACTAGGACCCCCAATCCTTTTCCATCCTGGATTCCACCAGAGGCTTTCCCCCTAGTGAGTAACTTGCGTTCATAGTTCATATTTTTAGCACCCAAGTGCATCATGTTACATTTTCCAACATTAAACGTTATTTGCCATGTAGTTGCCGACCCCTTTATTTTATTAAGATCTTATTGTAAAGTTTCTACATCGTATTGTGAAGTTATTGTCCTGCTTAGTTTTGTTTCATCAGCAAAACTGAGATTGAGCTATTTATACCAACCTTTAAAGGTCCTATATGTACCCAGGGTACATTAAATTGAATCTTGGAACACCTCAAAGCCATAGTCCACTTTTTGTAGAAAAAAAAAACCTATGAATCCACTCCTATATTCATAAAATAAAAAAAGTGTGTATTTATTAAATGCCTTGCAGATGCAATTCACAGGTTAAGGGGCTGAAGCATGTAATCATTGGGCTTCAAGTGCCGTGATGCAAGATGGGACTTGTAGGCTTTACAGTCACAGATCCCTTTGAATGGATGACATGGCTGTGTAGGCAGAACCACGAAAAGCTGCACCAAGTTCAAAAGAAAACAAAATATATCAGGGAAAAAAAACCCCACGATTCAGCTATGTTGGGTGAGGGAGGGCGATGTTCAGTAATGTGACCATGTTTCATGTTACCCCCTAAATATGAGTGTAACATGAAACATGGTCACAAAGGTGGACTAAGCCTTTAACCCTTTTGCTGTCAGGTCCCATCCGGGCAGCATTAAACCCCACCACACCGATCCCACTACACCGATTCACTGTGGCTTCCCTGCAGCTGCTGGCTTTAGGGGCTGCAGGGGAGCCACAGGGGAATGATTGTAACAAATCCATCTCCCCTGCTGATCCCTGCTGTGTTAAGTCCCTTGCTCTTTTTCAAAAAAATGACATCGGGGTCTGTTTTAGACCTCTGATATCACACCAAAGCCTCCTTCTGTTTGTTAAAAATAAAACAAAAACAAAACAAAAACACATAGGCCTCGTTCACACAGGGCATACTACAGCATACGCCCTGCGAAGCTGTGTTTACCTGCATGGGGATGCACAGGTGTTCCATGCATTGCCACACAGGTGGTTCTATTGACATAAATTGGAATGTAGCAACTGCACAAACACAGCCGCTGCTCCCAATTTGACATCTGCGTGGATCTGGGTACATGTCCCTGAACTCACACTGTCTGCATTTCACATATTGAAGGCTGTAAGGGAAAAATAACCATACAATGGAAACATTGCAAAACTGTTTTGGCCACCTGAGTTTAAAAGTGAAGCACAGGGCCTGGAAGTGAAAGGGTTTTATCTGCAGTCAGCTATGTAATGCAGAAATCTAAAGGTGCCCACACATTGTCATTCCTTTTAGTATATGTGTCTAGCCCCACCCTTATTGGTCTATTCTTCTGATGGACAGCAAGGTCTTAGTGTGTGTGAAAAGGGGCAGGGCACAGTTTTTCAAGGGCTGCAGCCATATTCTCTTTCTAGTGGACATTTGGGGAGCTGTACATGGGTCAGTAAACAAGTTTGGAGACACTTGGGCAGGCACCTGCATTATATGGCTGCAGTTAAATACCAGCAAACCGAGGTTCTTCACACACCTGAAGATGTAGTTTTTTTTTCTATTAGAAAAATCTCTGTGTGCCTCTGTGAAATGTGTTCCACTTTACTAGGAGTCTGACTTCCTTGATTTCAGAACTAAACCCCTTCATTTATGATCCTTGTCCTCCCTGAACACAAGTGTGGTAGCTGGCGGTCTTACACACCGGTCACACAGATCTGACTTTGAAATCGTGTGGCTTCAAATTCGGATGACATTCCGACTTGAGTGTGACTTGCAAGACACAGATGTCTATGCTTGTCGCACCCAAGGTAGTGCATGCACTACTTCAGAGATCAGAGCGGCTCCGACCAAGTCGGAATCGCACCGATATGATTGTTGTAATTGCGGACAATAGGGTGTGACTTGCCATGCGATTTGCAAGTCTCATGGCATGGCAAAGTTGCACCTGGCGTGTCGGGGTCGTAGTCCTGAAGTCATAAAAGTCAAGTCCCGAAACAATGTGGAACTAGTTTTAGAGGCACACAGATGTTTTATGGCTAATAAATGCAATCCCAAACCAGCATGTAGTTTAGAAAAAAAAAATCATGACAGTTTAAAATGTCTAAAAGTTGGTTTAAAAAATGGTTTAATGCTACTGCAAATTATAAAATCGAAATACTTGTGTGATTTGCCAGTTAGTTGATCGCAAGCAATGGCATTTTTTTTCCTTTGCAGTATTATTGGCCTGGTTTATCTACTTTTGTCGTCTTAATCAAATCATTTCCTTTTATCACCTAGATCCTCTGTGGCAAGGAGATACCCCGTTGGGTTAACCGATTGGCATACTTTAGTTCCTGTGTTCCTTTTCTACAAAGCTGTCTACCGAAGGAATGGTTGACTCCTGCTGCCCTCCAGTCTAGTGTCAGCCAGGAGCTGCAGGAAGAGCTGGAAGAAGCAGAGGATGCAGCTGCCTCGGCCTCTGCTTCTACAACTATAATGCCCCGACCTGGACGCCACACTAAGTTATAGGAAAACACTTACGGGAGAACTGCCATGAAATGCAATTGTTTTCAAAGTCAGTGATCCTATTGATCTCCAGCAACTGACACTCTTCTGTCAATCAGGGGGCAGGAAATCTACATTGGGGCACAGGAGCCTACTTTTTTTTGAAGTATTTCAGCTCAGGATATTTGTACTTGTGTAAAAGAACATAATGCAATGACGCTATTGTTTTTGTCCAACTATTCACCATCCTACCAAACTCTTTTTAAACATGTCTTGTGTACATTTCTATTTTTTTTTTTTTTTTTTTTTTTTTTGTAATTTTTCCTCAGTATTTTTTTTTTTTTTTTTTGGTCAACTTCTATAATCAACTAAAAAAAAACAACTTTGGATTATTGCTTTTTTGACCCAAATGAAGAAAAAGTTCAGTTTTTTTTAACTCAGCTGTGCAGTCCACTTGTTCCTGTATCCTCAGTGCTATTTTTGAGTATCCTGCCAACTTTCATAATAGTTGCAGCTGTTCTACTTTTTTTTTTTTTTTTTTTTTTTTTATAGTGGATAAAAGTGATCACCTGTTGGTGAAGGTCATCAGTTGTGCTTTGATGGTTTACAGTGTTATTTTTCTGACCACTACTGTCTTGATGCTCTACAAGTTAATACTCTAAGACCTGTCACACTGACCTAAAAGCGAATTATATATTTAAACCAAATACACCTGGATGAAGTTGCTTGACAATCCTCTTAGCTTTATCCAGTGTCTGGACGTGTTTGTAGGGTAACCCTTAAGACTACTTTTTATTGCAGTTATGTTACATCTTCTGTTGGAGCAGATAAGACATTTCATGTTTTGTGGGATTGAGGGATCAGTCTTGATGGGTAAAAATGGGGTGCTGGGGTGTAAGTCATATTTTTTTTCTACTAGCAAATATTTGTATGTTTTATGTATGTTATTGCTACAACTACATCTGATAATAGTTGTCCAGTAACTCTTACCAACAAGTACTGTTCATTTTCTAATAGATCAGGGATTTTGCATGAATTTTTACAACTAGAGCTTGTTATATACATTTTTTTCTTTTTTTTTATAGATTTTTTTTTTTTGTTTGTTTTCTCTCTAATGATTTGTGTAGATTTTCAGCTCTGGTAAGGCAATCACGAAATACAAATGCAGTTTTCCTTCTGTTTAAAAAAAAAAAAAAAAAAATCCATGTTTTACAAGTAAATTAAGCACTACGTTGGCTGGATTGTATGCAAAATTCATTGTCGATTCTAACCACTATCTTGGCACTTTTGTTTCTTGAAGTATTTTTCAGTCAGATCTGTGCAGTACTGTAGGTTTGCAGGTCCAGTATCCCCAGTCCAGGAGCCAAAGATGGTTTTTGAACCACACACACAATTACGCCTTATGATTACTGGGCTTGGTGTTGTATTGCTTACTAGAGTGCTTGGGTTCCTTTGGGCTGGACAAAGCCTGCAGCATTGGCTCACCAACTTCTGACCAGTCATTTGCAAGTTGTTTTGGTAATTTTAAAGCTAATTGAAGCATACATGGAAATGCCTTTCAAATTGCCACGGGTACAGCAGAAGGCTTATACTGTCTCCACCAGGAAGCATATGTTTGCTTTGTGTCTGGTGTTCTGTGTTTTTTTTTTTTTTTTTTTTTTTTTGTGGCAGTGTTCTGGTTGTCCCTTTCTGTTTTTAAGTCTTTTTTTTTTTTTTTTTTTTCTGACATTATCCACTTTACCTGTACTCTTCTGTCCAGACTGCACAGGGATATATTTAATGCAGATTTGTTTTAATAATGAACATGGATTTTGTAACACGGTAAGCTGAGAAAAGCTTTCACTAACTTGTGGGTTTCGTATAAAGTGTTGTACCTCTAGGAACAACAATTTTATATACTTCCAACAATGCAGCTATATGTGTCAGCGAACCAGAAAGTGACGTGGCTAAATTGGAGGGGCCAGAGCTTACAGCAAACACTTTAGCACATGTATGCGCTATGTTTAGTAGTCTCTCTTCACTACCACAGCCAGGCACTGTTACACTGATAGGACACCTGATTGTGTGTGTCTATAGCTACTTTTGTGTAGTGAGTGCAGGTTAGAAGAATTGACCCTTTCATACATGAAATTGAGGGTGCTTTGTGTCCCAGAATTAAGTGTTTCATCTTTGTTACATATAGTGGAAATGGAACCACCTAATTAATACCATCTGATTGATGTGTTTTTCTTATGCACTTTTTTTTTTTTTTTTTGTTTTTTTTTACCAGGGCAAGCTTGGAAATTACATGCTTGTCAACAAAAAAAACTGATCATAGCATTTAATCAGGGCTGGGTGATGGAAGCACATGTATGAAGGTAGACTTAAAGTGATATGACAGTTAAAAGGTTTTTACTGCTGTGTATACTGCTATTAGTAATTATACGCTGCTTTGAAAGGTTATAACGTTTTGCTTTCCTCCAATCTCAGATAGTCCCCTCAGCGCTATTTCTGTTTTCCAAAGTTAGGGTGGATCCTCTCCCTTGCTGCATCCTAAGGAGCCACCCTTGCATGTGTGCCTCTGGTGGAGACTACAGCCATATATACATTCTCTGTGCACTCACACACAGGCAGCCCTAAAACTGAACCTCATTAATGCAAGTCCCATCCCTTTCTCCTCCAATGTAATAGAATGACTGCAGCCAGGTCCAGGAGGATGGGATGGGACCTGTAGGCCCAAAGAGATTGATCATGTGACCTGCTTGGTATGCGCTTCCCAACCAAAAGTTCGGAAAGGCTCTGCTTAGTAATCCCAAGCTAGCTGTGGTGACCACATCTATTTGTATGTGTTTTCATGTATGATCAAAGAAAATGTTTCACAGAGGATTGATTTTTATTAATGGTTAAGCTATTAAAGCGAAAAAAACAGAAGCTTTTATACTACTTTAAAGCAGAGCTCTTATGTTAAAAACAGCCATGCAGTCATGAATAGCATTGCTGCCAATTTTGATCATTTTAAACAAATTAATTTGCTTTGTATACTGTGTTGTTGTTTTTTTTTTTTTTTTTTTTTTTTTTTTTCTGCACACCATCTTTGCTATTCCTTTTCATCCTCATACTAGTGGGGAAGGGAAGTCACATCACAAAAGGGAAGTTTTCAATGTGGGACTGGGAAGGGCTAAATTGATTTATACCCATATACTAGCTGTTTTGTCGAGAGCTGATTATCCTGGTTTACACACAGGAGTAACAGAAGAAATCCTTTGACCTCGGACCAAGGTAGCTGGACCAGATTAAAGGCAGATGTTAGAGTGTTTTCAGGGCTCTTCCAGGGCCTGCTGCTGCAGTTGCACACCAACTAGGACACACAAACACGCAGCCACTGGGAACACAGTTCTGCAAATATGAGTTATTGCAGTTTTGCAGTATAAAATGTGTAAAAAAAAAAACAAAACTGAGGCTTCCATTTCGGCTTCAAACTGCAATTAGGTGGCAGCTGGAAGATGCAACAAATAAAACATTTTTTTGAGTTGTTCAATAAACTTGCATGTTTGCCAATGACCAAGCATGCATGCTTTTATTTTGAACAGACACCCTTGGTATCAGAGGTACTTTGATAGACCAGTAACAATTAGCAGGAAAAATTACCACGGGCACAGGCAATCCATTCTTTTGCCGTGATGGATCAATCAAGGGGTGTTTTTGGTTATCACAGTGCCCGTAGAAATACAGTATATTTTTAATCCGTTCATATTCTGCTGAATAGCACACCGATTGCCTCATGTTTCTTTCCATCTGCAAGGCTAATGTTACCCCTCCTTTGTTTTATTTTCTGTAATAAAAGATAAATGGCATACCTTGGTTAGGAGATAATGGAGCACACTTGAAATGATTGCAGCTGGTGTACTGATATCTTTTTCCCAAAAAGTACAATATCAGCTTTGAGTGGATTGACCACTGAGCTGTAATCTACAGAAAGGTGCGGGCCAGCCAGGCACAGCATCCCTAAATATTCAAACCCTAACAAAACATTGTGAGCAGTCTTTATTGGCAGCAGATTGGAGATACAAGGGTAAAAATTTTCATTTTTTAAATATCAATGTTTAAAACATATTGGACCAAATGGCCCTAAAAGAATCACAGATTGGTGCATATTATTGAAATGTGTAATAATTTGGTGCCAAGTGGAAAGCCTAATTTCTTTCACAAACCACGCTTTCGTTACTATGTCACTTAATGGTGTAGTAAGTGATGGGACAGCTCTCCATAACTGCAATGGAAAGCCATCCCATCACTTTCTTCATCAATAAGTGACATATACTTTGGATGCTGCTTGTGTAGCTATAATCTGTAACATATGTGTAGTTTGTGAAAGATATGAGGCTTTCCACTTGAAACAAAATTGCTTACATGTATCAATAATATGTGTGAATCCTTTAGGGCCATCTGGTCCAACATTGATATTTAATAAAAATAATATTATTTTAAACTTGCATCTCCATTCTAGTACTGATGAATTCCACTCAAAAAGTTCTTTGTAGTGACCTTTTTTTGAACTGGTCAGATGCCAGTCCCTGGTCATGTCCACACCGAATATACATAGCTATTTATAAAGGTCAGCGTTTGTACATGGATATTCTGTTGCTAGTCTTTATAAAACTTAGTGAAGGAGCTAAATATTTTAGTTTTTTTTTTTTTTTTGTTTTTGGGGAATTACGGGAAATCTTTTTTACTATGTAAATGTATGTTTGTACTTCGAGTATAATCTATTGGATATTTTTTGCAGCATAACAAATTTCCCAAAAATTGAGACGCTGATTTGGTTTTGACAGGTTTAAGGCTGTCTATATTATGTGGAGTATTCACAGATGAATTTGTACACAGTGAGAAAATCTATTAGGTCTACAGTACAGTCAAAAGAAAACAAATTGTTGCAAGTAGTTTGCAGGGTTTTTTTATTTATTTTGTTTCTGCCGTGTAAAGAAAGTAGGTAAGCTAGGATGATTCTATTTTTTGAGATGCAGTTGCATGCATTTGTTCTGGAC